TCCTGTGGTGATTGGAGGTGCATCCGGGGAAGAGTTTTGGTGATTGATCAGAGCACGGAACTCCCGAAAAGTCTACAAGTGAGACGTTCTCAAAACTTCTTCAAGAAAGAAACGCTCAAGCCTCAAAACGAAGAATTAAGAGGAAGGGTGAGCGACAGAGATTAGAGCTCTACGCGTCGTAGAAGTACTGACGTTCTGCTCAAGGTTTTTTGGTGGTTTTCCCTTGAGTCGGTGGACAAATGTCAGGACGTAAACTGTCTGGAAAAGGCCACCTGGGTAACTAATTACATTCTTTCCTTGTTTACCTACTTTTCAGACAGAAGTACTTGCGGTGGAGGTTACTTGTCAGTTGTCCGATGGAACGATAGTTCGAGATTATAGGACTGAAGCTGGCAGGATTAACGGTTCGATTGTCGTTGGTCAACAGAAGCGAAATTAGCCGCGGCCGGGATGGCCGCTCATTCGGCGGGAGGGCATGTTACGGCGACTTGTCCAAATCAAGTCGCTGTAATGTGAAACTGCCCTGTTGTGAACCACTCCTTAAAGAATAATAGAAGAGAGAGGTTGCCACGGAGGTGTGTTATCGACGGACAATCGAAGAGTCGAGATCGGACCGTCGAGCGATCAACGTTTCAAATTCAAAGATCTCTAACATAATTGAATTGAGTTGTATTATAGTTTATGTACTTTATTGTAAATATAAAATGCAGCGACGCGAGAGAAATGCAGTAATTCGCAACAATATTAATATTATACAGGGTTCCCCGGAAAGAATCATACGATTTCAAAAATTTATATTTTAAAAAATTACACACAGAAAATTATCATTCAAACACGAATATAACGGGAAAATGTGTGAGTTTTTGTNAGAAAATTATAATTCAAACACGAATATAACGGGAAAATGTGTGAGTTTTTGTTTACAAGTGTTCAATATGACTTCCTTTCGTTACACGTATGATATCATTGCGATATGAAAGTTCTCGCTTTCCAAGTTCACGACTAGCAGAAATGGTGGATTTTCTTGGACTGCGTAAAAAAGTCTCTCGCACTCTTTCAACATTTTCTTCAGATACACCTGGTTGCCCCGGCCTTTTTCTTTTGCACAGGCATCCAGTGTCCTAGAACTGATGATACCATCTGCGAATACTCTGAGCTGTCGGTGGGTTACTTTTATATTTCCTGCGAAATTCATGTTGAACAGTGATTACTGACTCACATTTCGCAAACGAGAGAACACAAAAAGCCTTTTGTTCCATAGACGCCATTTCACGTTCTTTCACAATACAGCAAAACAAACAAACAGCTAGTGCCACCTATTGAGAAAAAAATAATAAAAAGTAAAACTCGCACATTTTCCCGTTATATTCGTGTTTGAATTATAATTTTCTGTGTGTAATTTTTTAAAATATAAATTTTTGAAATCGGATGATTCTTTCCGGGGAACCCTGTACAGAGTGGGGCATTTTAAATAGGTCACCTGAATAACTCGCTTGTTTTTGAAGATAGGAGAAAATGCATTAGACCAAACTTACTTGGTATCGGGGGGCTCATAATCTGGTATTACCAATTTTTCTTCAGGTGGATGCGGCAAGGAGATATGAAGGTCAATTCTGTTTTTTTTTTAAATGGAACAGTATGTTTTTTTACATACATTCTGATAGAGTGTTTCGAGGCGAATACAGTGAACTATTATGAAGGTCATTCAAGGTCGTGATAACATGTAAATAAAACCCCCACACGCTCCACAGAATACCTCTACGATTTTGGAGTATCAGTGTTTCGGATTTTATGCAGTGAAAGTGAGGACCCCCGACAGTCCTCCGAGGTCCCTCCCTTCAACGCTGCAGTCGTCGGCTTGGGATCAGCTGTGCACTGTACGAGGCCAGTGCACCGATATCGTGACCCACAATTTCGAACGGCAACTGCGTTTCCTATTAATGATATATTCTTAACAATTCTTAAACAAACATATCCTGTATGTTATTTAAGGCGATTATTTATTATTAAATTAGCTTTCGGAATCGCTCGTTGAATTGTGTTCGGACGCGGAGTTATTTTAATTAAAATTTAATAAATTAACATTTACGAACTTTGTTAATCTTCACCTTGCATAAAAATTTCATATGGTACACATGAGGTGTCATGCACACCAGAAAATTAAAATGGCTGTCACGGTTAAACTACATATTATTTCGGGTCCGAAAAATTAGTAATTATTCTTCAGACATTCTGAAATAAGGATGAACACCGTTTTTCTTAAAATTACTACTGCCACGTGGTAAAAAAAGATAACGAAATTTCATGCTCCGTGACTTGTTCATTGATTTGAACGCGGCTTCCCCCTTCAGCTGTCAAACTCAGTGGTAGGAGCACATGGCATTCGATCGATCACGTTGTGGTTCGCTCCATTGCCTCTCATTGGTCAACATTTTTCATTAATAACTCGTAAACAAAGCCGCAGATTGCATTTTCGCAAAGGAAAAAGTTACTCATAATGATCTCAGCTACCCCACATTTCCGTGATGCGAGACATTTTTGGGACACCCTGTATATATATCATTTGAGCGCGCGCGTATGTGTGTGTGTGTGTGTGCGTGCGTGTGTGTGTCTTCGACTCTGCCCTATAATTCCTAACAAACTCTTATAGAAGCATAATGGAACGGACTCACCGGTGATGAACTGATTGAAACATATGCCACCTGCCACCTGCTACCCGCAACGCAGCAACTCAGTACTTCAACAAGCTGACGTCGCATGAGCATTTGACAATTCCCTTGTCAATTGTACTCACATTACACTCTACGAATCGTAATAGGAATTAGTACAAAATTTACATAACATCTTCAAAAAATTAAGAACAAAAGAGACTTAGAAAATATGGATAATATCTGATTTGTAAATACTCTTAAATAATTAGAAAATTAAGATTTATATTATCTTGGACAAAATTTGACTTCTACGATATTATTTTGTGTCTACAAATATTTATACAGTATTAAAACTATATTTTTAACACTCTCACATAACTGAAAAGCATCTCTATGAAAAATAATGAATGATTTATTTAGATTTAGGTGTAACAAGAACTCAATCCTTCCAGTCGTCGTGATGATAATTCATTACAAGCTATATACATATCCTCATTCAAGACTAATATTACTAAAATCACACGAAAACATTTTAAAAACAAGAAATTATAAAATGATTAAAATAATCATAAAATAACATAAATGAAAGTATGAATGATTAGTCACAACTACCTTTTTTCTTCGAAAAGAATCAGCACTGTCAAGGATGCAGACATTTTATTTATCACGACCGTGGTTTATGAAATGCGGCCAAGTATCTAAAATATGTTAAAAGAATGAATGTTTTACGAAAATTTATTTTATATCTGGATAGAAACAAAATTTCAAAACGAAACTAAATTACCTCTTCGCAATATGGCTGTGAAATAAGGTAGGCTTCAATTTTTCTTACGTCAAACACTTCTCTCAAAACCTGCAAAAAGTACGAATAAAATAATTAACCGTCTGAGTTCCAAGCAGCGCGATTGCGGTGTTCAGATCTTGTGTCGCGATCAAACTTTAGTGACGCACGTACATCACATAGCTGCTTTTTTTCATTTTTTTCTTTTTGTTTTGTTTGTCAATCTTGACGAGCGCTATCGCGCCGCTTGGTTCACTTCGCAATCAATTAAGACAAGCGCTATTACGCTGTCCGCCACTTTTCGACCGTGTTTTCTGAATAACTTCTGGGACTCAAACGGTTAATAAGTAACAAAAGTATAACAAAATACAATCAGAACATCATACTTTTCACTTTCAGTAATTGTATAACACTGAAATTATAGATAGATATCATAAAACTGACAAACTACAAATTTGCTAATTCACAATTATTAAGGTTGATATTTCTTAAATTTTAATCATTGCAACAAAAATTTTAACTCAAAAATATTAAAAGTCATTATAAGTAGAAAATAATAGAAACGAAAAATCAACAAATTCAATACACATAAGATATGACATTAAAGTCGTCTAGCACATTTGAATCTTACACATGTTAATTACGGACTGTATAATATTAGCGTGTTCACAGGATACGTTGGGCGTTGTGAAATAGCTGTTTCATAGTACCGGCTCTCGAGAAGTTTAGCGGCTTGTCCCCTTGTTACGCCACTGAAACATCCAAAAAATTTAGTTTAGTTTCAATATTTCTCATCTACTTAATTCACACACATAAATAAAAATTACAACGAAACAAATTATTAAAGTAAAAATTGCAAAACATTGTATAAAATATTTTATAAATTTCAATACCTATATAATTGTATTGCAAGATTTCTTGCAGTTCGGAGCTATTACAGAGTTGTTATAAAAATTAAAAAAATTAAAACCTACGATAGAATCCGCGTCGCAAATAATACAAAATAAAAGATGATGTTTCGATTGCCATTCCCTCGTGTTTGAAATATGAATCTAATTGTTTAAACAATTCAAGAAGCTAAGGCAGCGCTCAACAATTGATGTATGCCGGTCGTATGGGTAAGATTTAAATTGATGGCTTGCCGAACCATGATTTCCTCCATGAAGGCAAGATGGTTCAAGATAGTTAGCCTCATAACGTACACGAACAAACTCAAATTAACTAGAGAATCAAGAAAATACGGTTCCGAAAACAGGAATGTGAAAAACTGATGCAAATCCGAGGAAGTACTGTGAATGAATGCAGAAGTAATACAACACCATTGAATTTACGAAAAATTGTTATTAAAAAATTATGAAATTGTTATAAAAAATGAAAAAAAAGACACTGGCCGACTCTTATGTTCAAGAAACATAATCATATCCTTTAAACAAGATCAAAGAGTTAAATGAGAAACGCGAGAAAAGAAATCGCAATCGAATTAATTTGCATCACTTCACCGCCGAGAAATCAAGAAATTTCGAAATATGCAATTTACATATACCACGCTGCGAGCATAATAGATAATGAAAGACAATATTTCGGTTATATTGATATCCGTAACATTCGCGGCATGACATGAGAATGGCTCTATGATACGAAAATTTGAAAATTCAACATAGCACTTACTTTTTGATATGGAGAGCTTCGCGGCCGGTATCTCAGCGCGACCTGACAGCGTTTAGTCAAACCTTCTTATGCTCGAAGAAGACGAGATGGCACTGAGGTCGCTAGATCCATGTGAAGGCAATAACCATTCTAGCATCTTCTGAAAGCATAGAAAAAAATTAGAAACATTAGAAAAATACACTTTTAACCATAAAACGCGAAAAATTCACAAATATCACGGAAATCATCTCGAGGAAACGCGAAAAGGTACACAATCCCTTCGATTTTACGAGAACGCGGCATATGCAAAAAATAAATAATTTATTTTTAAAATTAGAAAAAAATAAAAAGTTTTTGGCCCAACGATAGAGTATAAAGAAATGATCGTTTTCTCAAAAGAAGATTGACGAATCCTTTAAAAAACCCGAGAAAAGCGGCCGGGATAGGATTCGATGCGATTTGCAATCATCGCCGAGGCGACATTATAAAAATTGAAAAATGTCGAAAAATAAAACATATTCCGCGCCATGAGTAATAAAAATTGAAGACAATGCTTCAATGATCACTTTCTTTCTGTAATGCTCGCGGCAAAAAACTGACAATTTTATGCAAAATATTAATTATTTAAGTGTTCACTTGCCTGTTGCTGTGGACTGCTTGTCGGTCGGTAGAAGACTACAATTATGGCGTCTATTTGTAGGACTGTAGGTACTACGTTGTACAAATTGAGGAATTCGATGAAAACAAAGATAGGCGCCGTTGCGGTTACGTCAACTACTTGTCCAAAAATTTTCTGGAAATTCTGAAAAATACATTTCTCTGCTTAAAAATGCGATTGAAACACGAAAATGGTGGAAAACATCGCCAGAAAACGAGAAAAAAGCTCAGTCCCTTTGATTTTATGAGAAAATATTGAAATATACACTGTATATTAAAAATAATCGTGTCATCTGCGTACGTTCGAAAATACGCGAAAGTTGATGTATGTGTGTTTATTGAATGAAGAACGCTATATTATGTACACGGTTTTGCTTCGTCCTTGTGTCGGCAGCGATTGCTTCCTACAGTTCTAACAAATACGAAATATACTATTCTTCGTATAAAGTTTAATGCCTTTTCTCGAACCAAAATCTAACAACATAAGTCATATACACATTATATAATTTATTAAAAAATTTATTAATAATTAAAACAATTAAAACTTCATTGCAACATCGTTAAGTAAAAAATGAAATATGTAATTAGTTTCATAAAACACAGGCATAAGATATCAACAGAAAACTCGAAAATCTAGCCAAGATTCGTAGCAATTTGCAGTTACCCCTGAGACGCTGTATAAAAATTGGAAAACCTATCTTTCTCTTTGTTTTGTGAAGACTGTAATAAAAAGTATCGCGAAAAGTCTAAAAAATCACCAGAATGCCAATAAAATGTCTAAATTTCTACTATTAGCTCAAAAAAGTGTTTTACATTTACCATAGATAGAGATGTCGCGAAATTCTATATTTATATTTATTCTAATTTTATATTTAGAAGCATTCTTTGGAGAGAGAAGAGGGTTAATATTTCTTGGAGGTTTTTTAGAAGTTCATTAATAACATTTGAGCACTTCTTTGGGCTATTAGTTGTTTTCCATTATTATCTTCTGGATGCTTGTTTCAGCGAATTCATTAATGTAGAGGTTTTATGTACGTTAATTTGTAGGAAATTGTTGAGAGAATAATTATTTACTTAAAAGACAGACCGAAGAAATCTGCAGAGAAAAGGCATGAATACAGACGAGATTTGAAGTCATTTTTCATCATCATCCAGATACTGTATAAAAATTGGAAAAATCACCAGATTGCCGGTACATTATCTAAATTTCAGTTATAAATAGTTGGCTCAAATAAAGTACAAAAATAAATCACGATGCGAAAATCACTATCGATGAACGTAATTAATAGATACTTTACGCGAAAGTGTTTTACATTTACCATAGATGGAGATGTTGCGGAATTAGCCTATGACTGTACTATTTGAAAAATCCA